AATTAGATATCAATTCTTCAGTCAACGTTTATTGCCAACTTTCCCATCACCAGTATGAGCTGTAATTTGCTTTAGCAATGCAGAGAGAGGTAGAGACAGAGAGCGAGAAAAGAAATTGCTACTACTGCCACCACCAAGAACAGTTTTACAAATCCTGTTGGAAGAAATTACTCTGAAAGAAAATCTGTAAAGACACATTTGCTAATTTCATTAGCACAAGGTGACATTTCAAACAGCCAGGTGCCAGTCTTATAAACTTCAACCGTCATTTTAATAGCAATTTCTTTTAAGATTCTTCAGTATTTTTTCCCTAAATAAGCACGGACCATATATCTCAAATATGATTAATCAGTCCTTTTAGCTGTCAGAACTGGAAGCAAAATATCCTTTGGCAGATAATTAAAACTTCAAAATCTAAATAGCCCAAAGAACCCATGGCCTTGAGGCAAAATTTTCAAGATGCTTTTGAATCCTAGGAGACAGAACATTCAAGTTAAAATATGACTATGTGCAGAGAAAGTCTATTTCAAATGCAGACCAAAGTACAAACAGGAATTTTCACATGTTCCACTTACGTAAATAGCGCTTAAATGAAACTAATCAAAATTAGTCTTGACCCCTCAAAAGTGTTCTGTGCCTACCTTTATATACTTACTTTATCAGAGTTGGTCTCCTAAAACCAACTGTTAGACAACTAAAATCAAAATTATTCCTGAGGACACAAGCAAAAACAATGCTACTCACTTGCACAAAAGCACTCCCAAAATAAAACTTCACAGTGGTAAAATCAGCTTAGGCAATGTTATCTTATGATGGTTAAATACCAGACATATAGCAGTAACTTCATACTAAATACTGACAAAATCATGATTAAAGTTACAAAGTTAATCATTCCAAAATTAAGTACCAGAATTACAGCTGTCTGTTCTACCTGAATTTCAACTATTGTGCACACGAACCCTTTTTTTGCTGCACCAATTTATCTTTACCCTAGGTAAACAACAAACCTCTTTCCTCAGCATCCTGGAGTCATTCAGCACACAAGCTGGATGCCAGATGTTGTTTCACCATTATCAAAACTTTTTTCTTTTTTTCCTTGGGCCCTGTTCTTGGAAAGGACTAAGATTTTTGGAAACATTTTACCTCAGAATGAAAAAGTGACATGAAAAAACTCAACCCACGATGTGAAGGCTGATAAAGTCATAACTAATTGAAAACAAAGTTTTAAAATGGAACCTGTACACATGAACGTTAAAAATGGCTTGAAGTGAAACACGTAAAATATCATTAAACAAGTATGATAAATCCCTAAAATAAATGGCAAGTTTGTTCAAGCAAACTAAGTTATCACTTATTCATTCCTACATCTCAATTAAGATGCAAGAAGTTCTATAAACACTGCACTGATTACTTCATCAGACCAGGCACAGGTTCTCAACTTATTTTTGTCACAAGTTTGGGGCCTAAGATCAGACAACTGAAATAACTATAATGCTTTTTTTAACAGCATCCTTGTGATTTAGGTCAACGTCTTCATTAAACACTTCAAAAGTGTGTTTAAGTATATATTCTCAACAATGAGATATAACACTTTGGGGAATCCTTACAATAATGCCCATATATCTACTTTTCCTTTGAATTCAACACTACCAGGACAGTTGAAATGTTCCAAGGAAAACAAAAACTTACAGTCAAACCACATTTGGGGTACACACTTACAGCTCTTCCTCGTGTACAGGGACACAGAGGACACAGCCTTGATGGGGGATAAATCGAGTTTACCTCTTGTCTCTCATTGATACTGTTGATAATATTGTGAGCTATATGCTCATGTGGACAGGGAAGAATTTGAATTTAAAGCTTATGTCAAACAGAGAAAAGCAAAACCAGCTATCAAAATAAACCTAAGACATTCACACCCTTCTCCATAAGGATTGTGAAAGGATGAGCGTGATGCAACACGCCTTACATAACCACCAGTATTGACACGTTTACATTTAGAAATAGGACTATCACTATTTTTCATAAATTACATTATATACATTTCAGTGGTCTAGTTAAAAAAGTTAATAATCTATAGGTTTATACCAAAGTTGTAGGGCCCACTAAGCAAATGTTTCTCTGAACTCAATTATTTGTATGAAAATTCACACAGGGATTTGGCTTATAACATGATCCTCTTTTAGCAGTTAGAGTTTCTATCTTTATTGCCAGTCAGAACCAAATAGAAAACAAATACACTAACTTTTAGAACAATTTATTTCTGCATTTCATTTCAGTGTTTTTCTCTTTCCTATTTTTGACCTTGTCTATGAATTTTTGAAAAATCTTAAAAAGTGACTTAGTTGGAACTGAGATACCATTCTGCATGAGCATGCAATGTCACCATTTAAAAAAAAAGTATCTTAGCAATCAAAACAGACTACATGGACAACTCCTTTCCTTTTTCATCTCCCTTGCTTCCTTCCCCAGAAACCTTTCTGATTGTCTCTGAGCTCCAGCAGAAGTGGGGCACAGAGAAAGGCTGAAGCAAGAACATGGTGAGGGCCCCTTCAACACGGCACTAGTGATGTTTCAGTGTGGTGGGAGGTGTGTACAGGAAAGGAAAAGAAGGTTCCTACTTCTAAATAGTCATGTCAGAAAGTTACCAGACCACCAGCTGCATCTGTTCATACTTGGAAGTTCTGCATGTAATGAGAGGGGACCAGATTGATTTATTTATTTTTAGCCAAGGACTGAATTCCACACAATAAAAATATAGTCCATGGGCCACATGCAGCTCTCAAAAAGGTTTGAATCCCCTAATTTAAAAAGTTACTTCAAAAGAATGTATATATACATATATGCATATGTATTTTTATATATGACAGTGTGACTGAAAAATCGTAATATTTCAATGCATATGTATATATATACACAAACACATACATAAATATTTAGATGATCGTGCTGTAATTAATGATCAGGTTCTTCTTCCAAATCCCTTCTGACTTGTCACAAATATTTTATCAACACAGCATCTTATGAAGCAGCTTCATAACACAACATGTTATGACCAGCACTGAAACAATTAGCAACCATACCTTGTGGTTCCAACTTTTAGAAGCCAACATTCTCAAAAGAGTCTACTGGGTATCTTTATTTTTAAATCCATGAGACACCTTTAGGGACTTGTTATCTGTATAGGGTGTAAAGCTCAGCTTTGCAAAACAAAAGCCAGTCAGCTCCCTTCTGTAACATTTCAGTTGGCACTTCCAGAACTATAAAGTCACAGATAAAAGGAGTCAAATTATAGAATGACAGTTCATATATGACTGATCTATTGTCCTCTGAAACAAGTACAAACCTCCAGCAAACCTCTTAAAAGTCTGAAAGATAAAAAAGCAGATACTACGTTGTGTAAGCAGAGATTATAAAACTGAACAGGAGTGGCGATTTTTGAGCATGCGATTTTGTATTGGCCAGGCACGGTGGGGCTGCTTGTAGAGGAAGGTGCAGGTGGGGAGAAGAAATCTTCTGAAAATACACCATCATATCCACACACTTTTCATAAAAGTGGCTATGCAAAAAGAGTATTTCCTCAGCAAAGTCTGACACTATTTTATAAACAGGCTGAACAAAGTAAAATCTAGATTTTTAGTACAGACCTTCCATTATTTCAAGCCTCAAACATAATTTCTGAGTTTTTCCTTTTTTATCCTAACATCTCAATGACAGCCACTAACACAGGACCTTCCAAACAATAACACTGTGATTATTCAGTCCACTTATATGCCACATTCTTTAAAATACTCATGTGGTCTAATTAATTCACCCATTAAAGTTGTGTAGTTCTGTTTTTTTAATCCTACCTAATAGAGACTTCCTCTATTGACAAAAGTTAGCATTCCTTTGATTCCTCTGTAAAGTTATACTAACTGGTCCAGGCGTCAACTTGTCAGAAACTTGGATAGGTGTAGCAAATTTGCAGTAATAAAATTTTAATTTCTTTTATCCAAATGTGACATATGTACTGTCTATGAGGAAATTCAGACAAGTGATGCAACCGAACCTATTTAGCAGTCACACTGAGCAGTTAGTTACTCAAATTGCAGTATTCTGCTCTTATTTGCCTCCTTCTGCTACACCTAATTCCTGATTCATAACTCGCACGTAACACTTCTGATTATCCAGGGAGTACGAGTTGTTCAGCCACTCAGGACTGATCCAATTTGTACTGATAGTAAGCCTTAACTCTTACAAAAAAACCCTACAAGTCAACGTTTTGCAAAAATAATGCTTTCTTCCAGAAGTACAGAACCAGTTTCTTCTGTATCTGTAGATCCTTTCTGCTGGATGCATAGGGGTACCACTGTGCGCACCTCTGTCCTAGCAAACCCTGGGAGAAGCACTGCAGGGACCCCAATTGCTGCCTCTTTCACCCATACCAGTGGGGTACAATAAACCAACAGTGAGCTCTAAGGTCTTAGAAGAGTATCAGTTTACACAAGCAGTTAATCCAGTAAATTCAGAAAAGACATGGTCAATTGCTTAGCTATAAAAAAGTATATCAAGCATGTCCCACTAATGCCGAATCAATGACTCAAAGAAAAATTCCTTTTGTTATTAATGAAAAGACTTAAGAGAGAATAAACTAATTAGCTGTTTGTCTACTTAATCCTCTTGCCAAAGAAAAAAAGCATTTCACCTCTAAGTAAAAGTGCTTTTTATTCTATTAAAACCTATCACAATGCTAAGAATGCTGCAACCGTCTGACAGTGGAGAGTAACAGCAGGCCAGGTCTCATTCTTTGAGTTTGCGCAACTGAAGCGAATCACTCATTAACAAACAATTACCAGTTGTCAGTGAGTTGTCAGAAAGAAGAGACACCACAAGAATTTCTACTCTGAAGAAATACATCTATTGATATGACCAAGCAACTGTCAGTGCCTAGAATAATTATCATAATGTTAATTCAGATGAGAGCTCTGCATCTGTATCTGGTAAGTTTTGAGCTTTACCTGTCTTGTCTTTGCTGATGTTTCAATGAAAGGAATTCCGTAACTTCTTGCTAAATCCTGAGCTTGTTTTGTATCTACTGTTCTGGAAGGCAAATCACATTTGTTTCCTACTAGCACCATTGGGACATCTTCAGAGTCTTTAACTCTCTTTATTTGTTCTCTAAAAAGAAGAGAAAAAGACAGATTGTATTTAACAAACATTAATATTAATAGTTTATATGGTAGATTTTAAAACAATGCATAAAAACTGAACTAACAGATTCCACCATCATTCTTTATATTAATTTACTGTACATACACCATTAGAAGCCACCAAGAAATAAACTGACTAATCCTGTCACCATCAAGTTTATTATCTTACTTTAACAAAACAAAACAATATACATGGTTGAAATTTTGCAAACTACTATAGATTTTGATGTCACTACACTTTTTTTTACGTTTTCTTTTGTTTTTAACAGCTAATGCCAGAACAAGCCTAAGAAGCTCTGGAATAAATCTTACTACTTATCTCTCATACTCAGCACTCATAATACTCAATTCATTTGTGAAGATAAAACAGTCAAAATTGCTATGCCTGCTGTCTAAAATTTGGTTTGGTTTTGGGGGTTTTTTAATTAAAAACAGCACTGTAAACTCTGCATTTAGACAAGGGCTTTTAAACCTTGAAGACCACTGGTCTAGTTGTCTACAAAGAGACATCTGGTAAGAGAGTCCTTTCAAATATTAGTTAGAAAGTATCTTGAAATACTAGTTAGAAGTACTTGTCAAAAATCCCAAATAACAATCATCAATTTCATTACTTTTGCTTTCCCAAATAATCTAAAAGTATGTTTCTTAACCAATATAGTCACTATTTTCAGTTATTCATTTATATGCCTTCAGTTTTAGTCTGCAAGGCCATCCACAGGTGTGTAAATGCACAGTAGAAACTCCAACATTCAACTCACAACTTTCTTTGAAATTAACTGGGAAGGCCACCTTATGCAAATCTGCAACTCTCTCTTTGAAAAACTCTCTTTAAAAAATTTCACATAAAAACCTTTACACTCCTTCCTCCCCTTATATCAACAACTCTTACCTTTTACCCTTCTTCCTCTACAACCAGAGGAAACCCATTTGTAACAATCTGGTTAGATAACAGAGTTTATGTTTTTTCTGAGAGCAACAGATATGTTTTTTTTAATCTGCCATCCCTGCTGTGCTAACTCTTAACTGTTTCTTCTTTTTCTTTTTTTTAAGGTCACCAGTACCAATACATTCAATTAGAACATTTTATATATAATGAAATGTATACAAAGGCTGACTAGCTCAATTTAAACATAAAAAAGAAACAGTCCTGGAACAAAGTGCTCACATTCTCAATACTGATCTCTCCCTAGATAAATATGCAGCAATTTTGCCCCTCTCATTTGCAATAGTACTCCCGTGATTCCGCAGCTGCTCCAGGGAGACAAAGCAGCAGTAAACTATTTCTGTAGGTAGGCATCTACTGGTTTAGCTACTCACATCAGCACACAACACAAGCAAAGGAGCTGACTTGCTGGAATACAGGAGAAAAATGAAACGATGTGATCAGGGCAGTTACATGTGCTGACTTCGATTACCTCGAACTGTTGTGGTATCCCACCTTCAATGAGGAACAGTAACTTCTGTTCATGACAAAAATGTGGAACTTCAGTTTATGAGTAGGTGACTTAGTGGGCAATATTGATAGCAAAACACTCCTCCACCATACAGCAACATAGATCTGACAGCATTGTAAATGCCTAACCATGAATTGCTTAACATTATGTGTTTGGGGCTAATCTTAATCTGATGCTGCTAAACTCAGTGATCTTTGGTGGGATTTGCATTGCCTTCTAACAGAATACCCAGGGAGCATTCAGTATAATAGTAAGCTACTACTAAGTTATATCTGATATAGTATCAAAATTAGATCTGGTAAGGTAATCACCAGAGACTGCTTCTATATCTATATTAGCGTACCTGGCAAAATAAGCATGAGTTGAAATTTTTAACTAATTATTTTAAAAAGAGAGAATATGAAGAAACTAACAACAGGTTGCTTTATAGCATTCATCCTGGAGCTCTGATTTTGTGCATCTGCCCTTCTTCAGCATCAGGGCTCACACATGTTACTCTTCTAGTAACATTCCACAGGTCTGTCTTCTCCAGCCCCAGAACAGAAGTTACCAACTGATGTCATTGTCTGTACAATTTCAATTGCATAAGTTTTTCCATTTTTGCACACAATTTTATCTATGGAATGGGCAGAGTTTACCTTTAGATAATTCTTAGCTATAAATAGGCAGAAATACTAAGCCACATTAGTTTACATCACAAGAGCTTTTGGATATTTTGTCTGCCTAGCTTGTAAAGGAGGCAGCAGATTTTTCTGATTACCCAAAATTCCAGACCTACAAATGCACAAATAAGTTGCAATTTCTCTTATTTGTAAATTTTCCCTTAGATGCTATTTCATAAGAGATCGTTCTATTATCTAATGGAAAAATAAGCAACCTATCTACCTAATACAAGAATTAGTTTATTATCTTTCAATATACACACCTATAATGGTGAATATCTTCAAAAGACTTTGTATTGTTTATAGCAAATACACACAGGAAACCTTCCCCTGTTCTCATATATTGGTCCCTCATTGCACTGTACTCTTCTTGACCTGCTGTATCAAGAATATCCAAGAGACAGGTTTCTCCATCAATTACTACTTGCTTCCTGTAGGAATCCTAAGAAAAGAAAAAAACATAAACCTTGGTTAAACACAAACAAGTAAGATTTTGAACACCTGTAACTCTGGAGATACTAAAGCTGTTTACTAGTAATCAAGCATGACTGAAAACACTTAAGAGTTACAAATCCAACTTTACAGATGGATAAATGGAAGTAGGAAAGTAGGTTCCCGTATTTACATGTATATAGTAATCCAGAAGTGGAAAGAACACTGAAAGGACATGTTCTTATCCGTATTCTGAACCTTCAGTGAGTAACAGTGCATGTGTGCACACACACGCAGAGCAGCGTTCTTATTTCTTATTTTGCACAAAAGGACAAAAAAATACAAGCATCTTCCCATTGTCTCCATTAATAAAAGAACTGAAGAAACTCATAATCCTGATTTTAAAAGGTTTGACTTTGTTTAAACTTACTCATTTTTCCAAATTTTTTTAAAAAGTACAGTTTGACCTTCATTCTATGAATGGTTATAAAAGCGCTGTGCCACAACAATGTACAAAACAACAGAATAGAAAGAGTACACAAGTACGACAACTCCAAAAATCTATAACACTGAAAAATAAATTACGTACAAAAAGCGTTCAGTGTTTGGGACAGGAAATCTGTTTTGTATGCCTAGGCAGGTGCATATAATAATATCTGTTATTAAGTTATCAAAGTTGAGTTGATATATTTGAAGTTCAAGCTTTTTAGCTGAGGCAGACCAACAGGGTCATATAAAGCCCTGATAGGTTGTTTCACAGAGATGTTGGAACAAATTATGTCAATGCTACCAATTCAAAGTTTTTAAGTCACTGATTCAAGTGGCTAAAATCTGTGCAAAGTCCCAAGCAGCTAGATATTAATGTCTACTTATGGCTCTTTTTGGTGCTAGGCTTCTAGGAGTACACAGTTTTAGCGACAAGAACACAAGCATTGCTCTCCCAATAATTTCTATAAACATCTATATATCTGAAATAAAGCCATGTCAATGAGCTTTAAAAATAGGTCATTGCACAGTGCCATGAATTATTCTCAGCAAACAATACTTGTAACAAGTAAAAGGTATAAACACAAAATCTTGGTATTACCTTTCAGATCCCTTAGCTAGAGATTAACACAATATTGCCTTTGTTCTTTTTAACACTATACAGAAGTGAACCTAAGGTACTGGGAAGGGAATTAAAGAATTAAAGTTGCAATTCTAGCCAACTTCAAGATTAATTCAGTATGACCTTCCTTCCTTCGTACCCATTTTAAAGCACAGTACACCTACTCCTATGTACTTTCCATCTATTTGTACTTTTACAAAAGGCTCTCCTTTCCTGTTGCTTACTCTAAAAACCAAGCAGGAGGTAATTGTATAGAATCCGTATCTTAAACTAAACAACTCTGTAATCACACATTTATCTTGAGCCTGGATGACACTTAACAGTATCAGGTAAAACCATTTTGACTGTTTACCTTAAAGATAAAAGTTTACCTCCAACATGATTTTGGAACTATTTATTTCACTGAAGTGCAAATTCAGTGTTCGAGTAAGAAGTAGGTAACTTAGTTTAGAAGCATACAAGCCATGTTTAAATATTGATACAGATAAGGCAGAGACATAAGCTCCAACATGTTTTAAATAGAATATTAACCTTATCTCATTGCTTAAAGGAAAAAAACAAACAAAACAACAACAACAAAACTCAACCCCCCAAAGGACGCATCTTTATTCCATTTCATCTAAATTCAATAGCAGATCCCCCATGTCCTAGGATATCTTTATCAGAGTTCACAGTGAAATACTAGAGGAACTTCTATCATTATACGAGGCATATTTACAAAGCTTTCATTTTCTCCTCTTGCAATCTGACTGCTAGTTTAAAAAATATGAAAAACAGTTCTTGAAAAGCCTGTACTATTCCTTTACATCTTAGCACTTCAAAGAAAAATTCCCCTCAACTGAGCTCTAAACAAAAGCTTCAAGTAATTTTCATCAAAGAAAATAATTTTTAAGAGAAAATAACTTTTAAGAAATGCTGGCTTTAGCATGCCTACCATGTTAGCAGTAGCAGCAAGGATGCACCAGCCTAAAGCACAGCACAGGTACAAAAAGAAGGAACGCTTTGAGATGATTGATAGTTGATTCGCCCACTTCTGGAGAGAAAATTTTGTCACTAACTAGAAAAGGGATTTGAGGTGGAAGGAAAAGAAGGACATGGGAGAAAAATTGAAGCTTCTGATTTCCTTCCAAGCTACTGAAATAATAAACACTTTGCTTTTTTGCCCTTTCTCCCCTGCCCTGCAAAACATCAAACCCGAAATCACATTTGTCACTGTAGGAAAGAAAAGTGAAGCACCACATTAAAAGCTCAGGCTACTGGGACCCCCACCCCCATCGTGGTGAATACTAGTGTAAACATACCCAAGATAAAATTTGTTTATTTAAGCATTACCATACTGTAAAAATTAAAGTCCTGCAAAACAGAATGTAGGATGTAACAAAAAGTTATGCCACTATACTGCTTGTAGCACTTCTGCTTCGAAATGCAAATGCAGAACCCAAAAGGCCAGACTCCCCTTCAACAAGAACAAAAAAAAAAAACCCTCTAACCTATAAATTTCATAATTTCTAAAAAATGAGTAGCTTTACTGCACATTGCATTCATTATACTGCAAATCTTCCAATGAAGAAACATCCAATATAAAGCTATTAAGTAAAAACAAAATACAAACTAGAAGTTCATTTCAAAGTAGTACCTGATTCCAAGCATGAATTTGCAATTTTCCCCCAGTATATAGACTCAGCATATCCATATAACAAAGTTTTAATTTCATTAATCATTTAACCTGCTTTTATTGGCCTTTCACATGCCATAAAAATCAGCATGGATTACGCCAAAGGAGTAATAATTCCATCTGTTCACAAGCACTGATAAGAAAATGCGATATGAAATCTCAGCTATACGCTACATATGGAATTTATCTAAAAAAACCCCACTGCTTAATAAATCTCATCTAAGCAAGTAACTATTATTTTGTAGAAATCCATTATAACAGTAATTTCATGTTAAAATATCACAGCTACTGAGACTAAACTATTACTAAATACAGGTGGAAATTTCACAGGTGCACAGGTCATTTAAGAACACAGACTTAAATATGTGTATTCCTAAATCAGCCGAGGGATTTTGCTAATCCAATTGAAAAACCTCTGACAGGCAACTAGGAAAGCTGTTCTTTCTCTAAGACGTTTAAAAGATGACATACATTTAGCACTAAAACGTGCTGAAGGTGTAGAAGAAATAAAATAAAAAATTTTTAAATTACATTATCACACGAGAGATCACAAGTACGGATTTAACAAACCTCGACCAGGAGAGGGCACTAGTCCAACTGTTCTGTGTATCAGGCCAGATTTACAAGCATTAGTGTACATAGTCTAAAAAGCACTTAAACTTGCTTAGCTATAAATCTGTGCTTGGACATCTACTTCAAATAAGAGACGAAATTGTGAAATGCATATAAAGCATATATATTTGACTAACAGTAGCCAGCCAAACATGCATTCATTTTAATTCCTCCCCCTTCCCCTGCCATCATCTGCTATGCTCAGATACAAGTAAATAAAACACTCAAGCAGGCCATGAAACTTGACATTTTCCAAACAAGTTATTTGTTGAATCATTAAGTCTATTCCACGGAAAACAGCAACAACATTAACATTCTAAACGCATCTGTGATTAAGTAACTAGTATAATTTTTCCTCTCTTCAACTGCATCATGTCTTTACAACATAAGAAATTTAGAAGTGTTGAGTTTCATTCTGTTATCACAGGAAAGATTTAAAATTATTCAGTAACTGTGTAGTTACAGAATCCACTATAGACAAACACCAAACTCCCTTCTCTGTCTACCCCAAAATATTTAGCTTGTTTATTTATCTGCAAGGGAAAACGAGTATTTTGGCAACAGCCGTATGACAATGAAAGAAACAGCAGTAAGTGAGAAACAATAGTAGTGACACTACTAAACTATCCTAACTGTTATTGTTTACCAGTCAAAGCAACTTTAGCCTTATTTCTTCACACTGCATAAAAAACACTCTACAGCTATTGTTTCTTGATCAGCCCCTACCACCACAACTGCATCTATACAGGAAGCACAATCAAGCAAACTTTCTCAACCAAATGGGATTCTGCCCAGGCAAGGACTGAAGCACTGAGACCCAATTACAAGTCCATTCTCTGCAACCTGTGTGCCACTCCAAATCACAGACCACTCTTACTGCAACTGAATTATTGCTTACCTACACGACTATAGCACTGTGAGTGCACACAAGGTGATTTACCAGGTGAGTAGGAAGATACAGTCTCCATCCTCAAAGTCTCAGAATTCACAGGACAAAAATGGTAACTAGTGCTCAGACAAGAACTTGTTGCAGTTGCAGAAGATCAATACTGTTGCACGTGACAAGTTGGGGATGCTGGTAAAACCCATTCGGTTAAAGGTTTCTTTCTTTCTTTCAGAACATACTGATTCTGGACCACAGCACAGTGTTACAGTCATCCTGCACACTACCCAGTAAAAGCCGCTGTTCTGGGATTTATGTTCTTTCTATAAGGAGCTAACTGTATTTTCATTTTATTATTTTACATTAACATGTATTTGGTATTCCTCAAAAATAAATACTCATCCTGTTGATTAGCAAAATCCCTCAAGTGATTTAGGAATACCAGCATTTAAGTTTTTGTGTTCCAAAATTGTTTACACAGTTCTGGCTTTGTATGACAACTTATAACACAGAATCTCCACAGTACTTTTCGTAATGTGTAAACAGACCTATAGCTTAAGAGAAACCCAGATAATTATGAACAAGTATCACAAAGACCAATGTCCTCCAAAGTTCCTTTTGCAGGAAAAAGTAAAATCCCACTTTACTTGTTCCTCTCAATGAGTTTTCTGGTTTTTAAGCATGTTTTGGGTGGTTGTTTTAAGATTTCCATCTTAGTAACTAAAAGAACTGCTCTCCTAGTGCAAGTCAAACTCTTCCTCCCTCCACAGGTCTATTCACAGAATCTTCTATAAGCATACATCAGGTTACTTGGCCATGCAGCAGAGATACAGGCACATTAATGTGAACTCAAACTCAAGCCAACACATCTCTATTTGGGGCACATTAACCCAGGCCTGTACTTTGCTGAAGTGAGACAGCTTCTCACCATTTCAGGGCACTGGCACCTTTTGCTTATGTCTACCTGAAAATGACCACATAACCATTTTCCGAGTCACAATTTTAAGCCTAGACCTAAACCCCTGTGATTCCTTCAAGTGAGCTTGGAACTGCCTCATTGTATAAACATACAAATGAAGTCATGAGCTACAGAGCTTCAGTGTTGGGAACATAAAAACCTTGGGTAAATTATAGTGTCATTTCTCCTTTTATACCATCTGAGGTTATTAAATACAATGATCCACAGGAGATTTCAGACAACACTAGTATTTTTCTTATATTTAAAAGGCAGAGCTTGACTTCTCACTGAAAAACTTTAAAATATCACAACTTTTCAAGCTTAAATAGAATTTCAGATTTTGAGGAATTGTGCCATGTATTTCAAAGAATACATTATATAGGAGCTACCTTATAACATTTTTTTCTAGATACCGAAACACACACTGGTGTGGTTAAAAAAAAAAAAAAAAAAAAAAAAGTCAGGCTCCAAATTTTTACTTCATTCACCATAACATTCCAGGTCACGCTTCTCACCATGTGAAACAGATCCTAATGATAGGAGCTGAGAAAGCTTGACGCATACATTTCAGAAGAACAAATTTTCCTTCTTGATATCAAAAAGGAAAGTCACATTTAAGAGGTTGCATGCAAAGCCATAATCAGTTTCCCCAGGCATTTTCAAGTGAATTTGGCACTCTGTCACCAAGATCCTAAAAACATGCATCCAAACTGTCCAACAAAACATGGCAATTAACACCATACTACAACTGAGCAAAATTGTTAATTTTTTACTGCAGCTGTTGTTCCACAGCCAGATCAAGCAGCACAGCGATTTCCTCTCCAGTGCTGGTCTGATGCTGACCATTACTTTTGAGCTGTTTTTATTGTAAAGCCTTGTTCTGTGTTTTTGTGGTAACTGTCCAAAAGTAAGCAGCTATCATTATTAGTGATAATATCTCTTCACAAAAAGTATAAGATGAAAGTGTTTACCTCTATTGTAGGGTCATATTCATCCACAAAGTGATTCTGAATTAGCTGTATCGTCAAGGCGCTCTTGCCTACACCACCAGCTCCAACGACAACAAGTTTATATTCTGTCATTTTTTAGCAGACCTGATGACAAAGAAACCAACATTAAGCAGAAAGAGTCAGGCTCCAACTAATGAGGATGGTGTTGGTGGGTTTTCATTCAGTATCACGTTCCTTTACTATTACCGGAAAGCAATTGCCTCCCTGAAAGACAAGACAAAAAGCTATGAGGGAATGATGTTTCTCAAACAAAATTATACATAGGAAACATAGCGTGGGCACTAAGCTGAAAGGCACCGATTACAAAGAGATAAAAAAAACAAGGATATGCTAAATTCTGAAAGAGATCAAAGAGTCTTTCTTGCGGGGCAAAGACTGTGTTCGCTGCTTTCTCCCACAGCCCCGGTGACTCTGGGAGACCCCCCGGATTTTTACAAAAGCTGGGCCAAACCGAGCGCCCCTCGGGCTGAGCCACAAACCCGGGAGCCCGCCTCCTGCAAACGGCTGTGCCGGGACAGGCGCGGCTGCGAGCACAGCTTCACCTGACGGCTTCACCACCGCAATTTTTTTTATTTATTTATTTCCCCAGGCGAGCCCAGCGCGACCGCTCCCCGAGCTCGGCCGCGGGGCCAGCGGCGGGACCCCCCCAAGCTCCCCGGGGGCTCGGGGTGCCGCTGCCCGCCCCGCCCCGGCTCCCCTCAGCCAGCAGCCAGCGACGCGGCCGGGCCGCCGAAACTTTCCGGCCCGGCGCCTTCGGCCCCTCGCACGGGGATTTTAAGGATTTGGGAGGAGGGGAGGGGGGGGGTTAAAAAAAAAAAAAAAAAAAAAAAAAAAAAAAGGACTAAATAAATAAATAAAAAAATCTATGAGGAAAAGGGGAGGGGTGGGGGATTGACTCGGCATAAACCGTGGGGTGCCGGGCTCCCGGAGGGCGTTGGCCACCTGTCCCGCCGCCACCTCCCGCGGCCGCCCGGCCGCCGCCCGCGCCGCGGGGAAGGACGGCGGAGGGGCGGGCGAAGGCTGCTCCGGAGGATGCCGGCGGAGGGGAAGCGGGGCAGGGCGCAGCCCCGCGGGCGGCAGCGGGACAGGCGCCGGGAAGCGGCCCCTACCCGGCTGCCGGCGATTCGACCCCTCCGCGGAGCGACGCCGGGAGGAAGAAGGGGGAGGAACGGGGGTGCCCGGCTCCGGGGAGCCGCACCGCTTCCCCCCCTGCCCCACCTCGAAGGGGTGGGGGGGGGGGGGCGTGGGGTGGGGGGAAGAAAGCCGAGCGCGGCGGTCCGCCCCGGTTCAGCGGGGTAAGGATAGAAATAGGCGGGTACCTGCCTGGCGCCGCGGCAGGAGCACGCCGGCGCCTCCCTTGCCCGCCCCGCCGTAGCGGTCGCTCCGCGTCCCTTTCCGTCCCGGTCTGAAATGGCGGGGGACGGGGAGGGCTGGGGCTGGAGCTGCCGAGGGAGCCGAGCGCCGAGAGGGTGGATGGATGGATGGATGGATGGATGGACGGGCGCGATCGATGCGCTCCGCGCTCCCCCGCCCCTTGCGGCAGCCACGGCTCCGCCCTTCTCCCTCCTCCCCCCCCCCCCCCGCCGCGGCGGGAGGAGGAGGAGGAGGAGGAGGAGGAGGCGGCGGAGGGCGGGGGGAGGCGGTGGCGGGGCAGGGGCCGCCCGCTGCGGGCTCCGGGGGAGGGCTTGGGCGGTGTTTTGTGTCCCAGCGTGAGGGAAGGTGCCCGCGCACTGCGCGCTCCAGCGCGGTGAGGGGGAATAAGCGCAATTCCCGCGTTTCCTCGCCATTTCCCCCGCCCTCGTCGCCGGCGGGGACCCGGCGCGCAGCGCCGCGGCTCAGAGCTGGGGGGGGGGGGGGTGGAACTGAGGGAAAGAGGCTCGAAAGGCCGCGGCGAGGCTTTCTGGCGGGTTATCCTGAGGGGAGCGGGCCGGGGCAGGCGTGTGACAGCGCCTGGCGGAACATAAAAAGCGTTTTTATCCGTAGCTGGCCACGAAAATGTAAGCAGAGGCCTTGCAGAACCACTGCGAAACTTGGGTGCCCGTTAAAGTTGGTCGGCTTGCACTCGTTCCAAAATAAAACGCGAGGCTTTATTATTAGCTACTGCGATGCTCCCTATAAAAGTTAATAAACACAGGGGTTTTTTTGGACGCAAGTTAACAATTGCATAGTGAAGCCTGTTCTCTTATTAAAAGGCCAAAACCTTAATCCCTGTAATTGAAAGGCTCTGATGTGCTGATTAATATAATGTAATGTCATTTATATGCCTGTGTTACATCCCAAGCAGTACTTTTTTTTAAAAAAAAAAAAAAGTGTCACCAGGTCTCAGACAAAGGTAGCGAGCCTTATTCCTAATGAAGCTTATTCTGGGGGTAGCTCCAGGGATGTCGACTGGCTCACACAAGGGATTAATTTGGCCAGTTTTGCTTCCCCTATTTAAATTGGAAGGTCAAAAATAAATATGTCATGTCTACACATCTGGTGTGCAAGAGTTTTAATTTAAAAGGCTGGATCTTTGTTCTCTGCAACTGCGTGTGACAACTTCCAGCTTCTTTCATTCTCAGTGTGGATCTAAGAGGTTCTAATTTTGGGCCATACCCAGCTGAGCATCGCAGGCATTAACCCTCTGGGACTGTGCTGTCTAATTTAGAAAGTGTTTTCCTCTAATTCAAGGAAATAAGCCAGAGCCCCTGCGGTGGTGTTCAGCACTACTCCCTGACGCCAAGGTGTTAAGACTCGGGAGGAAAACAAACACATCTTTGAGCTGTTGCGTGAAAAATGGTGTCTCTTCAGGCAGAGACCGCAAAAGATCAGACGAGCTTTTCTTGTATTCTTGAAACAAGTCTTTTCTGTCACTGAAATCAGTGACAAAAGTCCTGTGGACTCCTATGGGAACTTATATAAGAATACTCATGTACAGTGGGAGGTGTATACTGTCATGAACTGCGGAGAAAATGAAATTGGGAAACTTTATGATCCCCATTTCTTCTCTCCCAGGGATTTAGGTGTTAGTAACCTGGTCATTTTTGTGTTAAATGTTACTAGATTGTTTCCCAACAGCCTCAATAAAAAAGACTTGTAAAAATACATGTGATGGTGTAACATTAAATCATCTCACAAATTAGAGTTAAAACCGAGTGATTCAGTTTGCTTATAAAGTGGGCTACCTCACATGAGCAGATGTAAAAACCAAAAGAAAGACCTGCTTTCAAAGAACAAGTAGCCTGGTGGTAAAACCACAAGCTTGGGATGTGGGAAACCCACATTCCCATCTGTGGTGTGAAAGAGGCAAAGGAAAGATTTGAATGCAGATGTTCGGTAACTGAGGTGAACGCCCTGATCAGCAATTTTTGGATAGCCGGATCTCACTTTCATATTTTGCCCCCCCTAGGAAAACTATTTCAGTGTTGTGGTTCCTCCTAATGCAGTGGGAAAATGACAGCGTAACAGGAAAACTTGCCCAGTTCTGCACATAATGCTGGTGTTCCACAAACAGCTTTGATGGTTTGTTCTCATCTACAGGGCTTTATATGTGGAGAAGCTGTTCATCTTTAAACCCACACAGTCACAGCTGGGATCAGAAGAGTATCCAGAGACCAGCTGCCTTTGGTAGAACCTTCTCTGTGAAAACTTCAGGTCCTGACAACAGCTTGAATCGTCATACCTCCATAGGATCTCAATGAAATGTGCAATTATTTTGCGTATCATTGGGAGGGAAAAAGAATTGTTAGGATTCTGGAAAAAGCAGAATGCAAAGCTTGAATTTTTTTTTTTGTGTGTGTGTGTGTGTGTGCACAGATTTGTTTATAAATGTCTATTATGAAATTGCTGTTTGCTCTAATTAAAATCTGTTTAGAAATATCTTACTAGGCTTATGTGTGAAGTGGTTTGAAAACAAGATGAAATAAATGAGCTGATCAAAAATATTAAGTGCCAGCCCATACAATGCATTGATATGAAAGCTGGTGAAAAGTCAGCATGAGTGATGCAAAACCCCCTGGATTTTGTGGAAGTGCTATTCTGTGACTTCATTTTAGTGATTGTTTCTTCAGTGCAATTTGCACAGAGAATTATGAACACAGGTGAAGAAGATGCACGTCCTCAAATCCCAAAACATTTCAGCATGGTAGAGTAAAAACTTTCGTTCAGTTAAAGCATATTCATCAATTCAAAGGCTTCTTTACATTTGCATTAAAATATTCTAGTCTCAGTCTTCTGGATTCTCTGTGGATATGGATCTTTGAGGGCAAATCACCAGCCACAGCTCCTTACTCTGACAAGATGCTTCCCTTATGATATCAAGCACTAGGCCAAGTATAAATGCATCAGCCACATGTTTATCCTACTCAAATCTGCCCAATCCTAAACATTATACAATAAATTCAGTGACATTTTAACTTTGAGAATATATGAGCTTTCACCACCTGTCAGCAGTTGCAAGATGGGGGAGAGGGAATGTAAAATACAGCTTCAGACTCAAGATAAATAGTAAGCTTTCCCTGTTAACAGAGAGTGTCAGACAAGCTGAGACAAGAGTTAATTTTCCTGTGGCTTTTCCTGGCATTGAACTCTATGCAAAGCAGATGCAAAGCCAATGTAGAGTTACTACAGGAAGTTAAGTGGGTTTGTGCAACTTCAAGTTTGCCTGTGTGAAATACAAATATCAGTAAAGAGAATTTTTCTGTCACACATAGATATATCAAGGGTCCCTGGCCCGTAGAGCCAGTAGCAATGCATACGTTGTCAGATAACCACCAATATAAATCCAGTCCTGGCCACGCATAAGCACACGGTTATACTTCAGTTGGTTTAGCCAGAGGCCACAATACTGGCAATAATAGTGGTTTCGTGCTTTTGGGCCATCATTACGGCACTTTGCACAAAGACAGACACCACCTGATCAGGCTGCACATGTGAAGTGTTTACGTGACAAACTTTTTGAAGACACTGGACTTGACTGCATGGTTTTATACAGGCTGTGTGTTTTGTTTTATGCAGGCATGTTATTTTGCTCTGGCCTAAGATTCCATGTATTACCCAGCAGCAGTATTTGAGACATTCCTGTCATCTAGGATATACCAGCCTTCAGTTTTCACCTTCTCCTCTTCTCTCAGGGAAATTAAGACTTTTAAGGAAGTCCTGCCAACTTCATTATGCTGCCCTATCGTTGCTAAGACCACCTACAGAAAATTTGTTTTAAGTCCCATCTAAAGCCATACAAATGCCCTTACACATTTTTGTTTACTGACAGAGCAGGATACAATTATATTCCACAGGACTTTTAACTCACTAAATCTATTCAAGATAGGATCCACAAGACATATATAGGACAGCATACAGTGAACTTAAATGTATAAATATTTACATCCATGGATAAATATATATGCAATTTTAAATATGTTAGTTTATATTAAAATAAAGGCTACAGCTGTCATGGGATGTTAATTTTCATGCCCTATCAAATTTCCTGTAGTGGTATGGACCTCCTAGTAACTTTATAGGTATAGATTGAAGTATAATACAGATGAAGTCACATAGTGTATGAGCACAGCATATATGGACTCACACTGAATGTGAACAAATTTTGCCTCATTACTGGAAATCCTTTTCACATTATCTGATGGACCCCAAGAAATCCACAAACCCTAAACGAAAAATTACCTTTCAAATGCTCAGCTATACAAAGTGCAAGTCTAGGTTCTGCTTCTTTAGCTAAAGTGGCAGCTAGGTTGTCCACTACCCACTTTAAACACAAGAGTAGTGCAAGGTCCTGCAAACCTTCCTTCTTTTTTATACGTAGGCACTAAGGAAACATGGTTATTGTATTTTTCTGCAATAACATTAGATTTGGCTTGAAAGTAACGTGCTAAGATATTCCACATTACTGGTATTTGTAAATGGTTTGACTTTTGGTTTAATTCAGTTGTCTGACTTTCTGAATATAGTTCTCTGCTAAAAATGGGGTGGGGAGAGAGGAACAGTTCAACTGTGAACTATTCTTTAGAAAACTGGATGCTTTTGCCATCCCACTAGTGTCATCTGGCATTAATTAGCATAGCATCTCTCTAATTATATTGTCAGCATACAACCACTAAATTAAAATACAAAGAGAATTGTTAAAATTTCCTAATTTAACCATGGTATTTCTTTTAAAGGATAATTTTTCAAGTTTTGTGTATATAGGAAATCATCCAAAGCCCACTGAAGTTAATGGGCTTCATTCCGATTAAGCCCAGAAATGTTTGAAAAAATCAGTGGGGTGTCCAAATTGCCTCTCTAAACCAAGTGATTAGATGGCTCATTTTTATTATTGGCACCCACAGCTCAGCACCCAAAACTAACTGAGTATGCAACACTGCAGATCTAACAGGTCTCTCAAGGGACTGAAGACTACCTTGTGGGGAGAAAAAGAGAGCATTAGACACAGTGGAAGTTCACTTGTCCTGCTGCACCCATGCCTTTAGGGTGCCAAAAAGAAACACTAGGAAGAAGAGTTTTAAGTAAGTAGATTTCTCCTACCTGAGACGGCGTGGAACAGCCTACACAAAATGTAGTC